GCCAGGGGAGGTTTAGATTGGACGTAAGGAAAAATTTCTTCACTGAAAGAGTAGTTAAACATTGGAACAGGCTGCCCAGGGAAGTGGCTGAGTCACCATCCCTGCAGGTATTTAAAAGACGAGTAGATGAGGCACTTAGGGACATGGTTTAGTGGGTGGTGGTGTTGGGTCGATGATTGGACTCGATGATCTTAGAGGTCTTTTCCAACCTCAATGATTCTATGATTCTAATAAGTTCTCAGTCATTTGAGAGATAAAATTCTGAATGTAAGCACAGCAGTTAGAAAACGTGGTCTTAGAAATAAATAATCTTACAAAATTTTGGTAAATTATTAGAGATCACTGATATTCCTAAACTACAGAATTCTGAACAATAATTATGTACCTATATGAATGCTTCTTAATTATATCTAAGAATGAAGTAAAGAAATGTGATTCTTTTTGCTCCCCAAAGATTACTGTCTATAACATTTTGAGGCCACAGGCCACTGCAAGGAAGGAGGAAAAAGCCAACAGAAATTGTTATGAACAATTCTGTAAAAGCAATTTCCTTATGTTGCCAATTGCCGCAACATTTCAGATGCATAAGCATATATTAAACTGGTATTTCTAAGATAACTTTTGAGTATTAAACAGATTCTGCCTTAGTAATGATGTCTATCTATCAGACAACATTTAAGTCAGTATTCTTGTTTCTGGCTTCCATGAGTTTCATTTGTTCATAGTTTCCACTACTTTGAAAAGCCCTTAGTTCTTGCACTGTAAAGAAGGGATTGTGACTAGCCAGTCTCTACCTACTTCCTCCATGCCACTCGCCACCAGTCTCACATGTAACCACATGTATAGTACATATAGTTTTTAACTTCATGTCAGTGTCTTGTTCTTTTTTAAAGAGAGATAATTTTTGGCCCACCTCAAAATCCTACAGAAGTTTTAAGTCACCAGAACCAGTCTCACAGAAGAGTATACTTACCCTGCCACTCTATTAGCAAATTCAATTATATCATCTTTGGTTCTAGGTCCTCTATAGTTGTATGCCAAGTCACCTTTTAAGCTAGATAAATAGGAAAGACAAAAGAAGAACAGAATTGAAATCAATAAACTCTATCTGCACGTGTAAAATTACTCAATCTTCACGTTTATTACAGTCACCTTTTAGCAAGCAATAAGCAAGGTAATTTTTCAAATAGTCAGATAAAAGAAGTGGTGAACAAAATCTAAAACTCAATAATGCAATACAACACAATTATGGAGTAAAAACTTATTTACACAATATCTGATTTACTGACTTTTAAAAATAATTAACATTCTTTTACAATTATTTTTTTCTAGTGCACAGCAGTCATTTACCTTGTAAACACACAGATCATTTGGAACATTTGCTTATGACCACACAAAAAACCCCACCCACCCAAACCAAATCCCAAACATTCAGCATTTTTACAAGGACTAATCCCGAAGCAGTATAAGACAAACATATAAACTTCTCTAATGCTTTTTTGTAATTGAAAAGTATCAAATGACCTGCAAAACCTTCTGAATTTATGTATTAAATTAAGATTCCATGAAGTGTTGGTCAGTTTACTGTACTCTGCTGACAGGGGATGTAGCACGCTTGCATTGTAAGAATATTCAAGTGAGTTTTACTAATTCTAACAGGCTTTCTTTGAATCCATATAGGTTTAGGAAACTCACAGGAAAAAAGTAATCATAAACCAAATTTTCTATGCCTCTATATGCCAATAAAGTTTTTCATCCTTAAAGATTAATAAGCTAAACATCTCTGCCGCCTTTTTGAGAAACTAACTTGACAAGATTTATAATATGTAATGAATACTATTTGCTTAAACAATAACCTGCTAATAAACCCAGTACGTTCATAGTAAAAACTACTGTAAATTGTTAAGTCTTTATTTAACATGACCTTGTAGTGGACTATACACTATATGTGTTACAAGCAAGTACATATAATATCCTTATGGACTGGTATTTTCCTATAAAATTTGTCCTCTGTTGTTTTTTTTTTTTTTTAAATTACGTGAAGAAAAAAATCTACATATACTTCTCTTGTCAAACAACTGCTCTCACACTTCACCCTATATAGTAACCACTACTGTCATTTACGTAAGATTTTCGGGTACACTGAAGAGAAGAGAGAGGTAATTAAAAATAAGAAAATGCAATCAGCAACTCACAAAAAATTAACAGTAAGACTCAGGTATGCACTTACTGCCTGAATCACTCTAAAGGTGTCAAATCAATTGGTGCATGAAATTCCTTTTAATAATAACAATTTAATATATATGTATTTGAAATATTTATACGCACACACTTTTATGAAGTTGCATACAAAACAGCAGTTAAATGAATTCCAAATTTACTAACCTGCTTTTAAGAATTCTGTTTCTAAATAAGATGCTTGATATTACTGAATTTCAAAGCAAAACAGTCCAACAGAAATCAAAGATAATGTCAAAATGAGATGGTGGAGTATTTTTGTTTGTTTGTTTTTCGTTTGGGTTTTGGGACTTTTTTGTGGTTTGTTCGTTTGGTATTTTTAAGCAGAGAGGACTATTTTTTTTGTTGTCATGAAATCAGTGGCAGGATAGGTAACTGTTAGAAATTCAATGAGAAGCATCAACTTACAGCTTAATTGTTGGATAGCCTCGCACTCCAAATTCAGATGCAATACCTGAAAGAAATGTGTTAATGCCAAAGTGAACCAAGGCTTTCTTGCTCTCCTACCTTAATCTTTAAACATAGTTTACTATTCAAGCCACATAAATAAATGAAAAACCTACCACCTAGTTCAGTATGAATTATTTTACTTGCTTTCAAGAAGCTGCTGTTATGAAGCTGCATCATTAAATTTTGGACCTCTTTCAGAGGTACTGCAGGGTCCCAGCATAGGCTCTCAATTCATATGCCACAAGTCAAATGGCATGAGAATCCTCTAAATAGACATGCTTGGTCAGTTTTCACCAAAAGGTAGTATGCATTTAATATGCACATACAATTGGCTGAAAATACCAGAGACAAGAATTAAGCATCATGGATGTAGAGTTGTAAATACTAATGCTTAAGAGAGATATTAAATACAATTAACTACTCATGTGCTACAGTACTGGGTAACAACAAAAGTGCAGTATCATACTGTAGCAGTTACAAAAAAGTCAGTTTTTAAAGCATATTCTGCAGAGGTAAATGTCTACAGTCATCAACTTCACCAGAAATAGACACTTCCTATGCAGTTACTTAGCTGCTGCTTACCAAAGTGGTAAAAAGTAAGACAATTGCAGAACTTTTTCCCACACCTCATATTTGCTTAAAACCTTGTATCTTGCTCCCATCAGTCAGAGGAGTAAAATTTGCAACCCCCCTTCCAGTTGCGAACATAGTAACTGCCACCTTAAACTACACTTTCCAGTCAATTCAGTGTTTTCCAAAAGTTAAACTAAGTAGTCTTCAAAAAAGGCTAAAATTCTGACAATGCTTGTGCAATTCCCTACTGAAAAACAACCCCTGCGCTCACAATGCACCAAGATTCAATACTTTTAACATAAACATTCTAAAGCTACCAACCACATGCCAGAGCAGCAGATGTGGGAGGATTTGTGTGCAGGGCTCTGAATAACAGTTTAGAAATTGTGACCCTAAGGTTGTTTGCCTGCATAAAATCCTAATCGCACAGAACTACAACTAAAACTAGCAGCTCACCTACCGGCATCTTAGTCAAAGGAGACTGATCTAAAAAACTATGCGTACTAAGATCAATTTGATTCTGATCCTTTTCTCTCATAGCTGTACTACACAGAACTAGAATGAATTAAAAACGTGTATTACAACACTCAATCACAACAGCTGTCAACAGGCAGTTAGTTTCTCCTTGTACAGCTCTTGAACACAGTCAGGAGAACTACAAAATAGACTTTTTTTTACTATATTTTTTAAAACATCCCAGCCGTGGAGATCACTAAAATCCTCTCAACATCATGGAAGTGACTGACTTATTTACACCATCATCTCCACTTGTCATATGAAGAATGCAGTATAGGCAAACAGCAGCAATTGTGCCAGCCCAGGTGTGACGTATTTCTACTTTGATCACATTCAGTGGACTTCTGAGGCTAATCCCCATGAAAATTCAACTGTTACCACACCAGGTCACTCTTCTGTTGATAACTGCTGTATCCTCATTCCACACAGCTACCAGAGGCAACACATTGGATGCTTTATATGTTCATCCGTGATCTCAACTCTCTGATGACAAGCTACCCAAAGTTCAGGTTTTTCACACTACTTCACATTCTTATTAGGAACACAAACTATGCAGAGCCAACCATTCATGTTCCTTCCTAGTTACACGTGTGTGCCCAGCTGCACTTCCTTCTGATATTCTCAAGATTGAATTACTTTGATTTCGGAGAATCTTTAGATCGGGAATACATTAAGCAGAGTTGACTGAGCTTTTCATATCCAGATGTTGTAAAATTTCCACTTTCAAAATAAAAGCATGAAACTATTTCAAAAGATTTATCGGACTCTGTTATTCATAAAACTGGTAACAAATCTGAGAAAAAAAAAACACTTCCAGGGCACAAAGGAACCCTTGCAGTTTTTAGTACTTTTGAAATATGCAAAACTGAATTTAGAACAAAAACAAAGTGCCAATTCTGTTCCAGGTATCAAATACAAAAATTTAGTATCCGGATGACAGATGCAAATATTTCAGGGTAAGAGTTTATACAATTTATATGATTCAGAATTTTATATACGAGTGGAATGTTAGAGATCCATCAAATTTATTCCCAATTTTGAAGCTATCTGGTTGCATGATCTTGACATTTTTAATTCTCCAGACTTATTTTTCTTTAGCAAATAAGTATCTTTAAGATGAAACATGAGGTCAAATTTATGTGGTTTTACAGAAAGAGCTACATACAATAAATTGGTGTTTGAGACAAGATCATTTTTATCTCAAAAGACCAAACTCGGCTATATGTAAGCACAGAAAAACTGGAATATCACTGCAAAAAGTATTCTGCACAATATTTCATGTAAATATAACAATCCTGAATAATCAGGTTTAAAGGGTATTAACTAAAAACATTACATGTATTAGAGTTTTATTACATTCAGATCTCACTTGGGCTCCACTGCTACCTATGCCTTCCCTCTTAAATATCCTCATGGTTCAACATAGATTTAAGTGAAATGACAATAAACAAGCACACTAAAATTAAGAAAATACTGTTAAGCATGCAACAATCCTCTCATTTCGACCCAAACTACTTCTCTGAATACCTAAAGTTTTGGGTTTTCTCTGAAAAGGCCAGTACATATGAAAGGCATCATCAAAAAAGAAAGCGTTAAAATAGCTGAAATTGGTTCTTCAAGAAGGCATTTACAGAGAAACATGGGGAGAAATTGGCTCAACACTGATGTAATGACTTCAGTGATTTCTACAGGCTTTTGGTGTAACACCTTAAGGACTGATTACTCGAAAAGAATAACAGCAAGAACACAAGCACTTGTCCAACAGTAATACAAGGAACCTAAAATTGGTGCTGTCAAGAGACGCACCACATAAAGATGCTTGTATAATGGTACTCTAAGAAGCGTATCAAAAGCGGATCTTTGAAAAGCTTTTACCTTCCATTTGTCAGGAAGAATTCCCTACACAAGCAGAAACAAGTGTGATAAAAAACACATACTACAGCATGTTGTCACTTTCAGAAAGAAAAAAGATCAGGAAATTGTTCTCCAATGACTGTTTGCGTACATTTGCTATGACACAGAACAGAAGAATGCCTTAATGAAAAAAAATTAAGAACCGTTTCAAAACAGAGGCTGTCATGAAATTACCCCTAACCAAACCATACTTACTAGAAAAGGAAGTTGCATCCATCTTCCCAACTTTTACGGGAGAGCCCATGTTTTTCATTTCTATACCCACTTCATTCCACACAGGTTCCAGTTTCTTGCAGTGGCCACACCAAGGCGCATAAAACTGAGAAGCAAATACATTTGATTTAAAAAAAAAAGTTAATGAAGAGGAATAATTAAGAGAAGTTGATTCTATGATTAACCCTAAAATACATTAGCAAGGCTTATTTTCCAGTTGTGGTGTTCTTCAAGTCTTAATAATACTGCAAGTTAATTACAAAGCTGGAATGACAGACAGAGTTTTTATGATTTGGTGCTACTTTTAATATGAAAGCACAAGTTTGAAAAGAATACATTCAACTGCTGTACTATTGATTTCTTATTTAAAAATAGACTGTGTGGTAATATTTATTTTTTTTTAAATCTCTTTTGGAATATTTTCCTCTTTTTTGGAAAGTTAAAAGATCATGTAATCAATCTGTCCGGGAATATGAATTTATTCACCAATAGGGGAACACTACTCTTTGAAAGGAAGGGATATATATAGAAAGAGATATATATGTATACTTCCCCAAGCTGCCCTCTGGATTTCAGTTCTTCAGCAACTACTTTTACACAAGCACACTGTAAAACTGATCCTGTTTTCTCAGGGCCAAGCAGAGCTGAGAGACTTCATTTCATCTTTCTGCCTATGTCTTGCTGCAACACCTCAGTGAAATTAATAGGGAAGAAATCAATGTTTTGGTATAACAACATCAGGTCACAAATTGACAAAGTTGGATTTTGTTTTCCTATACATTACTGATCAATTCTGAATCAGCATATATAGTTTTCCCCACTCAAAAATCACAAATCTGAATTTTACAATTTGGGAATTACGGTTCATATTTGGGTGAGCTAAGAAAAATTTTATCTCACTCCCAAAGAAGCTCAATCTTTTTAATAATTCCTTGCCTCTGAAATAAGGAGCACTGAATCTTTCCAAATATGTTAGAAAAGTAAAAGAAGCCTCTCATATATTTGATGTTGTAGCGCTAAATGTCTAGAACACAAATTAGCTGGTATAACTAGAGGATGGAACTGTAAAAATTCTGAACAGAGGTTATTACTTCCTGACTGTAAGCGTTAGGTAATCTGCTTTCCTTCTTTAAGGACTGTAAAATATAGGATGAAGCCTGTCTGCATCCAGTACTCAGTCTAATTCCTGGTTCATCCTGAACAATACAGATTGCCTATCCATCCTGTCAGAAGAATTACTGTCACGTAATTTTTCTGCACCATGTACAAACGATTTTCCAAACGATGAAGCCGCCTTACTACAGTGTGTAGCATTGTACATTTTGTGTTTTGATTTCCACTAGCAGGTCTTCCCATTTTTCTCGTATACTCACATCTACAAGCCAAATATCATCTTTACGGTTTTCTTTAAACCTAGGAGGGGAAAAAAATGAAATCAATATATGATATATCTGAAAATAAATAAGTGAAGTGCATGTGTGAAACAGGCAAAGTCTACAAGTAAGTTGGCATAAAACTATAGATACAAGAATTCTGTTTTGTTTCTTTCTTTGGGGGTGGGGGGAAGGAGGAAATAGTTATTTCTCAAAATTAAACACAAAAAAACCCAGAGAAAAACAGTAAGAAATCAGAAAACACACCAAAACACACAAAAGATATTTGATTAGGATATTATCTAAGGTAAGACAAAAAAACCCACAGAAAAACAGTAAGAAATCAGAAAACACACCAAAACACACAAAAGATATTTGATTAGGATATATTATCTAAGGGGAAGAAGTATTTTGCAGCTGTTCTAGTTATATTAAATACTATTGTTGACTGCTTAGAAACTGTTGCATTTTTATAGATCTTAGAACATTGGTTTACACTGTTAATCTTAGCTTTACTGAATGTAGACTAAATTATCTTAAATGTTAACATGCAAAGCAATTTTAGTTCAACCTCCTTCAACACTCTACTACAGGTGTGTCAGTTTATGTTTTTATCAAAGGGGCATACAAGAAACCAACTTTACCAACTTATTGGAATAAAAATGTTCAAGTTATTCATAAAAACCAGAGATACACAGGTACTACTGAATACTCTTAATGCTAGACAAATGACATCTTAATGAACTGACTAGCTTTATTAACTGTGAATCTGTCACTAAATGCTAAAACCTCTAAACCAAAAATAGAACATGATAAATCAAAGTTCCTTGGTACCTCTTGAAGTGTTGCTTACACACTTCACTGAACTGTTGTCACTACAAGATCATAGAAATTATTGCATTACTTAACTATTTCTATGTTGAGAGTTAAATAAGACAGAATTTTAACATAAGGTTTATTTTTGTCAAAGGTGAGCTTCGTCAAAGTGACTAGAACTGGGAGTAATGTCACATGCTATAAAATACATTATACAACAGTCTTACTGTAACACTTTTGTGGTTTAACCCAGCAGGCAGCTAAACACCACACAGCCATTCGCTCAC